ATAGAATAGAATAGAATAGAATAGAATAGAATAGAATAGAATAGAATAGAATCCTTTATTGGCCAAGTGTGGTTGGACACACAAGGAATTTCTCTTGGTGCAAATGCTCTCAGTGTAGATCAAAGAAAAGATACATTCGTCAAGAATCATCAGGGACAATACTTAATAATAGTCATAGGGTGCAATAAGCAATCAAATCATACCAGGAAACAATCAATATAGATCATAAGGATACAAGCGACAAAGTTACAGTCACACAGTCACAAGTGGGAGGGGATGGGTGATAAGGAGTGATGAGAAGATTAATAGTAATAGTAGTGCAGACTTTGTAATAGTTGAACAGGGTTGAGGGAATTATTTGTTTCACAGAGTGATGGCTTTCGGGGAAAAACCTCCCCTTGTGTCTAGTTGTTCTGGTGTGCAGTGCCCTACAGCGTCGTTTTGAGGGAAGGAGTTGAAACAGTTTATGTCCGGGATGTGAGGGGTCTGGAGATATTTTCACAGAAGTGAACATAGAAGAGAGTATAGAAAATTAATAGAAGAGAGAAGAGGAGAATATTGAAAATTTAGAATAGAATAGAACAGAACAGAAGAGCACTTAGACTCATATCCCGCTTCACAGTGTTTCTACAGCCCTCTCTAAGCGATTTACAGAGTCAGGTCCTCATTTTACCCACCTCGGAGGGACGGAAGGCTGAGTCAACCTGGAGCCCCATCAGCATCGAACTCCTGGCAGTCAGCAGAATCAGCCTTAAATACTGCATTTAACCACTGCGCCACCATAGCTAAGGTTTGCTTCCCTCTCACCCCCGGGTCTCCTTCACCTGGTGCCTCTGGTCCCCTCTCTTTGAGGATCCCCCCTTTCCACACACAGTTTACTCCGTGTGGCTCAATCTCTCCGACTCCTCCTCCCACTATTTTCTTTGGAGACGGAATCCACGTTGCTTCTCTCTTGAAGAGCCACCCCCCCTCCCAGCAGACTCCCTTTCTCATCCCAGCTCTATTTGTGGAGCCCCCTCGTCATCCTTGACCCCTCTTCTTCTTCTTCTTCTTCTTCTTCTTCTTCTTCTTTGACCACACATATTTCTTAAGTACTCCATTACACTTAACTTATTTTTATGTTTCCCTCAGCGTACCCAAGTCTCGCTTCCGTATATCAGAGGAGACAGGAGCACACTTATCCAGCCATTTCCCCTTCTTTTCAGCCACATCCTTCATTCCTCCAACCACACGCATCCCGCTGCCACCACTTGCATGTCTGGCCACGTCTCCATTTATTTTCCCCATCTTTGGTATAAACTTTTAAGAAAACAGGCAAATTCATCTACTCGAGTATTTATGGAGAAGTCGCCATTGCTCACTCCGTCTCCCCAGTGAAAACAAGACTACTTTAGTCTCTGATGGGTTTATGATCGGATCCTTCCTCCTCCTTGCCTTGTTCAGCCTCTCTCAAATTCAATGCAAGCCATTCAGGCTCTCCTTCAAATTGTTTTTGTGCAGAAGTGTGCGTATGTTCACACTCCTGACACGCTCACCTGTGACATCAGAAGAAGCACTCCCCTCCAATCCGGCATCACATCGGCCTGCGACTCCATTTTCCCTCTGCAAATCCCATCAACTCAAGCCTATCCCTTCATCCTCTCCTTTCTCTTAAGCAGCCACTAGACAATAAACAAACTCCCATTCAGACATCTCATAATGGCCTGAATAAACCCCGATCTATAAACACTACGGTTCCTCGTGTTCGCCAAGCATCCGCGTTCCTATTTTGCGTCAGTGTAACTCCATCTACCTCTTTTGGATCCTTTGTCACGTAATTATTTTCACCTCTTCCAAGAAGGCTCCGCATCCTCTTTCTGTCCAACTTCCACTGAATCTACAGGCAGTCCTCGACTTATGATCACAACTGAGACCAAAATTTCTGTTGTTAGAAGTGAGGCAATGAGCTTTGACCCATTTTATGACCTTTCTTGCCGCATTTGTTAAGTGAATCACTGCAGTTAGTAACACGGTTGTTAAGTGAACCTGACTTTCCACTGACTATTCTTATCGAAGGCCACAAAAGGAGATCACATGACTCCAGGGACACTGCAACCGTCATAAATAGGAGTCAGTCGCATGACTGTGGGGAGGCTACAGTGGTTGTAAGTGTGAAAAACTGTCCTAAGTCACTTTTTTCAGTTCCATTGTAATTTCAAACAGTAAACTAAACGAATGGTGGTAAGTCAAGGAATAGCTTTCGTAAGTTCCTTTCTTATCTACATTCCCCCGCCCCCAGAATTTAAAGTTGACATTGCCAAACAATGATCTACCCCACATTCAAAACCCTTCATCACCATTTATGCCTTCAATAATTCTCTCAATTGTTCATTAAAAAGTATCAAATCAATGATTTCTTTGCCCTACGCCTGTATGAACAGATTTAGACTGACTGTATATTCACAACAAAAGGCCCTTTTCTGAGCTGATATTCATTTTTATTCATTCTTGGTTCTCCACAGGGCCCGTCACTTTTTCTGTATTTTCTGTTCCATACTTCACCGTCTTTACAGGGTAATTTTACCCCCCAGATCACATTAATTTAGAATATTGTACGGTTTTTTCTCCTGACTAGTTCTTCTATTATTACCATTCATTAGAATGAAACATGCAGCAATCACCACCCTAAGGAATCCTATTTTTATAGAAGCTCACAACAACCTAGAAAATACCAATTTATACTTTTTCTAGCCTTTCATTCATAATTAAACCTACATCTTCCACATCCCGACAAGTCCCCATTGGCTGCATTCCGCAAGAACGGGTCATCTTCGTTCAAATCATTTGCCTCTTTGCTTGGAGTCGGAGGCAGACAAATTATCTTTCATTCCTACATTTTGTTTGTTCATTTGTGGTCTTCACGATGTATTTACTCCTGAATTCCAAGTTGCAAACTTCCATAAGTCTTGGTTGCCAGCAGATAGGTGCAACAATATTGATCCCTCTGCCACTTATCATGGCTTTGGTCAATCAAAGTTTTCACGCAATGCTCTATCTATCTATCTGTCTGTCTGTCTGTCTGTCTGTCTATCTATCCATCCATCTATCATCTATTTATCATCTATCATCTATCTATTTATATCATCTATATCTATCTACCTATCTTCTATCATCTATTTATTTCATATATATCTAACATTTGTCTATTATTTATCTATTATCTATCATCTATATCTATCTGTCATCTATCTTTCATCTATCTATCTATCATCTATTTCTATCCTCTATATCTATCTATCATCTTATCTATTACCTATCATCTATTATCTATCTATCATCTATATCTATCAATCTATCATCTATCTATCATTTATATCTATCTTCTATCTATCATCTAACTATTTATTTATTTCATCTATATAATTGCCATGGCTTTGGCCAATTGAAGTTTTCAACAACACTTTCTATTTTATTTATTATTTTTAATTTATTTATAAGCTGGTGCTTGGGATTACAGCATTGTGGGGCTACTTGAAATGGTTCAGGATATGCCTTTGTTCTAAATCTCTGCCTCTCAAACTTGGTTAGATTAAACCAAATTGGATGAAAGTGGTTTTTCTTTGGGTAGGGATATACAAACCCATTAGACAGCACAACAATTCGCTGCAGCCAATTCACCAGGGCCAACTCTCCGCAGCCAAGTCGCCATGAGACAACTCACTGCAGGACAAGAGTTACACTAATATCAAAGAAACGGTGGGATGGAATCGTTAATGAAAGGGCGCAAAAGGAGGGACAAGATGAAATGTGAATGTCAGATGTTAAAATATTATTTTATTTATTTTACATAATTAAATGGAACTGTTTAAACTGTCCTGTGGCGAGTTGGCCATGGTGAGGTGGCCGCAGCGAGTTGGCTGTGGCGAATTGTCCCGTTCCATACAATGACCCTTCATTCTGCAGTCATTCAAAGTTACGAAGGTGCAAAAAGGAAGAAACTTACCTCAAAGTTCCATAAGTCTTTCCCGTTAAGAAGTTTCGGGTAGCCAAAGTTTGCTACCCAAAAGTTTGAAAAGCATGTGCATGTTTGCTCAGGGTAAAAATAGCAAGGTTGCAGGGGCTCTCTCCTCCCCCTTTCCAGAGGTGGCAAGCCTCTGTCTCAGCGCCCCACCTGGAAAGCAGCATTCAGGGCAAGGCCAAATGAAACGCGAGAGGGGGAAAAAATGGGCCTGCTTATCTCTCTCTTGCTCTCTCTCCACTTAGGCCTTGTTTACTCACTGGATGGGGGAGCAAAATATTGTGCTATTTCAACATGAC